ACTTTAAATCAGTCGTAAAGGGAATCTCCCACCTTTGGGATCTATTCCAAAAACATACTCAGGTGAAACATCAGGTCAGTTAGCTTAGTATAAAAAACACTGGTTTAGTGTAGCCGCGTCGCCATCAAAATATGATGAACAGATTTGATTCATTTAATTGTTTTTTGTCCAAATTACGCCGACCTCGTTTTGTTAGAGCATTACACCTTTTTCTCTGTGTAGTCCCAGAATGTAGCCCTAGTGTAAGACGACTAACGACGGCAGAATGTGCTCAGGGCCGTCGCCAGATGATTCGGACTAGGGGCACCCTTTTTTAGCCACTGAGCTGATTTAAGTCGCCCATTGTGTGTGTGCGTGTGTACAGAGCTTGTTAAAAAATTCCATACCTTCGGCTATTTGAGCCAGCTTGCACAGGCCCGCACGTTGCAGACATGTGGGCTTAAAAATAACTCCTCTTGGTTTAAATATCCTAAGCACAAATAGACTCTTGTGATTGACATAGCGGGCCACAGGGGTTTATTTAAGGGCATGTTTCATACTTGAAGGAATCGGAGCAAAATTAGATGTGATGAAACAAGATCACTTATAATTATTGGTATACATTTTAAGTGGAAAGACTGTTTAAGAAAGCACAATTCTCTGCTAGCACGCGCTTGGGTAAGGGGTCAAATTGAGCCCCCCCCCCCCGAAGGTTTTCCACAATGGTTTACGAATGACGCGGCGTAGCCGCGCCAAATGTTGCGTAGCTGTAGATAATTGAATAGCGTATCGTCGGAAATCACAATTTAGATGTGCCTTGTAAAATCGCTGACCTATGGCAGATCAAAGTCAGGCCATGGTTTCAGCAAAGGCAATTTCTAGGGCATCTTTCAATCTGGTCCAACAATGGAGTGTTAGACGAAGTCACACATCTCTTAGATGCTTTCTTAGGCAACACGACAATTGATCGAGCAAATTACGTTGACCTAAGGCCAGGTATATTTGTCAGACCGAGGTCAAAACCAACCTGCTTTATTGCTCTAGGGCTTGCTGTATTGGATAGTTTTCGATGCTCATTTCGAATTTATTGATAGCAAGAACCGCATTATGCATCTTCCATGAACTTCTTAGAGGGTGGAATAGGCCATTGACGTAAAAGGACCCGGGTCAACATTTTGTTTTTAGAAACATACTGCCTAGCGTAATTTTTGTCGCTTATTCCAATGCAAAACTCAAAGCAGTCTTGTTTGATTTTGGTCACCATGACCTCCAAGAGGTCAAACTAGGTCACTGACCTTAAATAAGCATGTGCCATTTTGCTTAGGTCACATCTGGGTTCTGGGGGCATTTTGGAGACCAGCCTGGGTATTTGACCCTGTTGGACCTCATTTGACCCGAAGATCCTAACCTAGGAACCTCCAAATTTTACCTAAGGGAGTTCACGTACAGGCCAATACACCCTGTAAATTTGGTTTCTCTGGCTATCTTGGTCCTTGAGATCTCAGGGGGATCAAATTGACCCCCACCCGAGCGGAGGGCATCCAGCCGGCCACCCGGGCGCAGGATACCCTTTATCCTTCCCTTACCTTTCGTGTTAAGTCAATATGTGCCTCAATGCGTCATGGTTTGATTAAGTCATCTTACCTCGCACATCGTTGATTAAGAGCCCATTGTCGATAGCTACATTCAGAAATCCTGTTCACGAACGCCAGACAGAAGCGCCTTGACAATGATATTTTCCTGGTCTCCACCGCCGCATGACTTATAGAATAACAGGATTTGAATGAAGTTCTCATGATGTCATGAATGTCAAGGCGACTTTGAAATACTCCTCTGAAATATTCTCCCCATTTTCGCGGATGTATAGCCCAGAAACCAGAGCGGTTAGGTCATAAGAAGGGCAGGGTTGTGAGCGGTATCAAAATGTTTCCGAACTGGCTATTTCGGTCCAAAACCCCATATACCTGTGGAACACCCTCTAGCCGAGAAGCGCTTTAGTTGAAGCTTGAATCAGTGGGTCATTAGTCTGTGCCTTTACTGTTTTCAACCTTTCGTGGCATTTATTGCGCCAGTATTTTGGCCAATTAGCGCGTTGCAGACATTATAGAATGCGCGTTAAAAAAACGCAAAGAAATAAAAGGTATTTCTTTCAAAGCGACGAGTCGGGAGCCCAATGGGAATTCTCCCAGCGGAGCGGCTATCTCAAGCCTAAGACCTGACCTATTAAGACGGACATCTAGGAAGCAAAAATTGCCGATCAAATTTGACGTATTTCATCTAACAATAAGCCAAAAGTGCGAAGAGGGCGACATACTCCTTTAAATGTGAATCTTGTGAGCTCGCACCTTTTGTTTTTTGTTATCCCTTTGAGGCTTTTTGCTACGTCCGTGTGTGGTGTAATGTCCTGAAAGAACTGCCGGCACGGATGAACGCGAAAGAACTAATACGGAACAACTGTCACCTTTCCAATCTATTATCGTCTAGCTCCTCCCACGGCAAACATAGGCTTCTTGCTCTTGTCATCATCCCTGACGCCAGCGTTGTATGATTTCAGAGAAGGAAGCTCGTGCACCTTCTTACAGGGGGCGTCGCAAACATTATCGATGAGGTCGGAGGCTGCACCGCCAAACGTCGACCCGCCATTGTTGGGGGCGTGGTGATCGTGGAAGATGAAGAGATATTTGAATGCCAGAACGCCTGGTGGCTGCTTCTCTCCTGGCACGGGGTGCCGTTTTGTTGATCTTCAATAAACATTGTTTGGGAATCCCAAACAGAAAATAGTGATTTTAAGACGAAGCATGTCTTTGAGCACAATGGGAGTACCGTGGAGGAGCCCAAAATTATGACGGCGATGGTCAAAATGTCCACTATCTTAACAGAACAACGACGCATTTGTCTTCCCGCAGAAAGGTCACCTAGCTGAAACGTTGATGAGTACAAACGTGACATTTAACCTGACAGATTGGAGAACGGCATTTGTTTTCCATCGTTTCGTTTGTCGTTAGCCGTCGTTCAACACTAATACATTGCTAGAATGTTACGCGTCGCGCTTATGTCGGTATAACAACGGATGCAGCAGCTCTCAGCAGTGAATGATTGAAAGGTATTTCCCCTTGCTTGTGCATTTCGCCATACGTTCCTCATGTGCGGTAACCTTTGCGAGGTAAAGGCGTGCTGCAAAGCAGAGGTAGAGTAGGACAATATTTCCCAATTTACATCAGCCAGTCCCATTTTCCTGTCATAGCGTTTCATGACATCGCCCGCTCTAAGGAGGAGAGCCCCTCATCAGTACACGCACGGGGTCGAGCGATCTGCTATAGTACCGGGTCACGCGACTCTGGGTCAGGGCGCCAGCCGACTCGCTCGGGGTGTTGTGAGACTGGCAGCGAAAGGAATGTCCTTGGGGAAGCGAGTCCAGGCACTCCCGGACTCCTCTAACCAGATTTGGGGACGCCGCCCTGCGAGTCGGCTTAAGGCAGTCATGTTAGCCGAGTCTCCTGACCACAGACAAGCTGAGACATTTTTACAGCGTTTTGGGACTCCCATTTGCCGAGTCAAACTCCCCATTGGGATTGAACATTTTGATAAAAGTGTCCCTCAAAAACCGTCACTGCTCCGAAACCTGAAAACCTAGGGACACGTTTGTGACGGCAAAACATGTACAACAGATGCCCAATAGGCCACTGAAAATTTTGGCGCGAATGTGCAGTATGCCGGAGAGTTATCATACAAAGCATAGGGAGGTAGCATCAACCGTCCCACTTCAGGATGAGAGTCACAGGCTGGTCGTATCGCGGTTGTTATAAAATAGTTGTAACCACATAATGATGCAACCACAAAACATTTCGTGCCATTACAAAGAGCAGTGCTACGGGGACGGCAAGCAACCAGTCACACAGCAAAGTTGTGAGCCATCTAGCACATTTCTTGTCAGCTGACGGGATCGGGATTAGCTGACAGCACATCCTTGACTCACTACGGGGAGTGTAGTTCCGTAAAACAAGTTGGGGGAGCTGAGGATGGAAAAATAGCTAAAGCTGCCCTTAAAATATACCCAAAATGAGTTTCTCCCCAGACTTACCGCACTTCCCTCTCATGGTCGAGGGTGGAGCGGAACCCCTGCCGAGCTGTAAACACTCCAGTCACCAGCCCCGTCCAACTCCCATGTCTGCCTATGCCAAAGGTGTTGTAGGGTTCAATACCTATCCTATATTGACAGGAAATGTAGCATTAGGCCAATCCCACTTTATTTTTGTGGCGTAAAAACCCTGACCCCTGAGCCTCGTTCAAAAGAGAAATCTATCGAGGCTGCTATACTCAATGAAGCTGTGCGAGAGAACATTTACACTACCTGAGCGGATGACAAAACATTTTCAGAAATTTCTTACTACAGATCTTTCCTGTCCTGGCTTTTAATGACATCACACCAGATATGGCCGCTGTCGTCGAACTGTTGGCTCAACGTGAAATACATTTACGCTACGATTTTGTCTCTATTTTCAGCCTCTCTCCCCTAGGTATGTGCACTGATTATACGCTGGACGAAAAACCCCTGCCTTGGTTGGCGGCTCCACTGCGTGAATATTATGAAATCAGGGGTGGTGACCTGTGGTACCAAAAGAACGTTGCGATGCACTTATTCCCCAAGTAATGGTGTGCACATTTTCTTATGGGTACCATTGCTCAAGATTTGTGAATCCGGCCTCACTGCGTTTGATGAATGTATAACAAGCCATAGCGGGATGGTACTTCTGATCAGAATGACCTACCATTACCCGTCCCCAGTCGGAGGAAGTTCGTGTTCCGCTCTGAACTCTCATGAACGCCAGCATTCCCGAGAGGCTCATCTCGCTTCTGCTAGCCGCACCACGGCGTGCCGGGTCCGCTAAGCGTTGATTGGTCGGCGCGAGGGACCTGTCTTGTGACGAGCGCCGATTGGTTGGCACCGGGGGCCTGCCCCGTGACACGGCGATGTCTGCAGAGCAGCCGCTGCGACACGCTGAGGCAGTCGTCGCTCCAAGATGATGGGTTCACGCAACCCACCCGAGAAGCGCTTTCAGCCGCCTCGCAGCATCTCCGTGGACGAGCAGGCAGCCGAGACTGACCCCATCCCACACCGCGCGGACTCCTGTGGCAGCGTGCGGAGCGCCCGGCCGCCGGACACGCGCGGCAAGCTCAAGTGGCAGCTGAGCAGGCAGGTGAGGACGACCGACATCCGCTGCCGGTTAGCAACCAGAAGACAGATTAGAACTACCGAGCCACAGCGCTCATCTTTCTTCACCCCATCGACTACAAATGGCAGACTTAAAGTTATCCAGCATCCTCCGTCTGCTGAACTCATGACAGAAGAATATTCTAATGCACTAATGAGTCCTACCCAGATGGTTCCTCAAAAACGATGGGCTTCATTCTCATATGCTTAGATACCGTGTACATGGTGTTGACAATCACCTTTGTTGCAACCACGCTCGTCCTTCACTCCAGAAGGTTGATCGTTTTTCTTGTTTTGAATATGAGAAAAAGCTGCTAATGTTCAGTGTGTCGGTGACTTTCATGCTGACGAACATCCCGCGTTGCTATGACGATCATGGTTGGGCTACCACTTATAAATAAAGTCATTTGTGTGACCGTCATTGTTCATGCTTTAATGGTGGGTCACGCCCTGTGCTCCCAATGAAAGTTTTGGCATCTTTGATGGTTACAGCCACAGGCCGCATTATTCTCTCCGTATTAGCCGAAGTTTTCTTTGAAATGGATGTAGGCTAAGCTCACACAAGCTGTTAATCCCACTAAAATCCGATTTTAGCAAGATTTTCCCATTACCTGGAATGCATAGGAGCGTGCACTAAAATGTGGTTTTGCAGTGCTTGTGTTATCATCAGTAAGATGCTTTGGAGCAGGACAAGCGAGGCGATTAGAGACGAGAGTGCTATCGATTTTCGTCTTGTAGGTCGTATCGATACCTAAGCTGTGCAGCCAGATACCTTTGGGAGCCCATTACATGTTTTCAGACATCAGAAGGCATGCCTTTCATCCGGCTGCAACAAGCAGAGGCTTACTATCGTAACGTTTGTGCGCTAATTTACCCGTCACATTGCTTGCAAACCGAATGGATCCGGGTCTGGCCAGCTTGGCGTGTTTCAGTCGACGTCATCGAAGACTGTGTAGTCCTCCACCTCTGGGTGAGTGTGATCAAAGTTAAGGCCAAAGCTAATCATTTTTAGTAGAGGCCGGTTTCAGGGAATAGGACCACACATCTGCGTTGCTAATAATGTTTGTTTCGTCATGGTGAGTTATTCGTTGTCCAATCATGTTCGGTATAGGACAATGCATGATGCATTTGGGACCGATTTCAGAAAGCGAACATCGCCACCTTGCCGGCTGGCTACTTTCGCGCGTCACTCGATCACACGGTTGGATACTGTCGCGCGTCACTCGATCACACGGTTGGATACTGTCGCGCGTCACTCGATCACGCGATTGGATACTGTCGCGCGTCACTCGATCACACGGTTGGATACTGTCGCGCGTCACTCGATCACACGGTTGGCTACTGTTTCGCGTCACTCGATCACACGATTGGCTACTGTCGTGTATCACTCGATCACGCGGTGTTCAGATAGCTTAGTGATTCACGGATGTGCGTATTGCAAACTTGATGTTGAACACTTCCTACAGCCAACCTTAGCTAAATGATTTCTTGGCTAGCAGCCTTTCTTGTCACAAACGTTATCCATCGTGCACGTTTTCCGGCATGAACTTTGTTAATTAGAAATCTCCGCACGAGCCTATATCATTGCTAACATTTGCATGCAAGACCTTTTTGGCAACGTTTTCCATCACGAGCCCAAAGGTTAACGAAGCTTGGTCCGGTTTTCACAGAGGTTCTTGTTGTGCATGACATGCGATAGATGCGGAGAGCAGAATGTAAAGTCCACTGATAAACATATTTGTTCGTCGCGTCAAAACACGTCAGACGTGTTATGAACACAGTAGAACTATTGCTAACCTTTACGATACGGGCTCAACTTTTGTTGACCGAAAAGCCTCTGCGGCGGTTTATGAAAAGCTCCTATCCTGTGTGCCTGCTCATTGCCTCCTATCATATTTGAATGTACATTAAGAAAGGTCCTTGTTTTAGCCAGTCGGTTCGTACTTTTGTACATGAGAAGTTCGTCAATGATGGCTCTTGTAAGTTGTGCTATAAAAAGTCAAAATGAACAAAAACCCACTTTGTCCCTAAAGGACCCCGTTGAAGACTGCCACATGTTAGAGACTACAGTGTGCTCCATTGAGAATAATATCGCGACAACGACGTGATGATGTTATATATATATATATATATATATATATATATATATATATATAACGGGAAACAATACAGGAAAACTGCGTGATAGAAAAAGCGGAAGTCATAGTGGCATGACTGGCACATGGTCGTTGTCATATGGTCGTTGTCATCAACAAGGCGTATTTCAGGCATCCATAAAGTGTATCATCTTGGGATATTCGAGAACATTTTCAATGTTTCCTTAACCTGATTTGTATCAGCGCCGTGATTTCTCTACCATGAACGATGGCTGTTCACAGTAGCAGTGGCGGGATAAAATGAATATGGGAGATGGCGTTTTCCAAAAAATATCTTTAAAAAATGAAACCCCAGAATATGACACTTTGCTCACTCCTTGCCGTCTGCTGCGCTACCAAATAAACCACAGATGATAAGATCTTATTTTGGGCACAATTCAGTGAAATACATAGCATACATATTGCGTCGGCGGCAAGCTGTAAGCCGAACTAATTTAACAACTACGAACGCCCAGCTGAATTGCAAGTTTTTGTGCTCCGCCGAAACCGGTCTGCAAGAGACTCGACAGCGCTTAGCGACACGCTCCATCAGAATACCTACCACGCGATCCTCTAAAGACGCGCTTCATCAGTCGATGCCCTCAGTGAGCGCCGGCCATCGCGGGCTGCCGCGTCGCACAATGCGCGGCTTGGTATAGGAGGCGTGGTGTCGGCTTATCGCAGCCTTTGCTCGCTCTAGAGCTCCTTTCGCGCAAACCTCGAGCTATCTGCTCTACGCGCGGCCCAGGTGGCCGCCCACCCCATGTACTGCACGTCAGGGCTCATTGCGAGCACTGGGCTTTTAGCGTTTCAGGCAGGGTGGCCGCGGGCTTGGCGCAATTCTTACTTTTATACGCAATGTGACTGTACCTGATTTTTTCTCAACACGGATTTACTGGGGGACTGTTAGCGACGAGTTTGTCTAATCAACGAATGACGCTAATGGGCGCAAAATGACCACTGCAGTCGACGCGCCCGAAAACTTCAATGAACAACAACAACCAGTGACGCTAATGCCCGTTCCGTTTCTTGTCCCTCCTGTTTTCCAAGTCCAGTGGGTCATGCATGCAATATGAGCGTACGCAGCGTTACGCCGAGCGAAGTAATACAAAGACGCTTTGTATATTGACCGACGTTTTTCCAAGGAGCAGCATGATTCATGGAACGAAGATTAAGCACCAAAAAATATTCTATCCATCCGTTCTTAGGCAACCGTGGATTGCTCACCTCACATAATGAGGCGTTTACTATGACGGGGCGACGAACGTCCACATGCGTACCAGCATACGTCCTAAGCCCTGCAGCGTTCATCGCACCACTTATCTGGAATAAAAGGGAGTGAACTGACATCTAATCAAGAAAAGTGCCAGCTAAAAAAAACTGATCCGTTTTTTCGATTTGGCACAAATCTAGCAGTAGCAAATTGACATAATCACACCGGATCGGCTACTGTAAACAAAAAATATTATTTCAATTATTCGCCTTAATGCGGAGAACCTCGAACCAGCAATGAACTTCTCCATTCTCCTGCATGAAGACAGAGGCGGCGAGTCTTCCACTCGTCGCTGACCCTGGTTCTGCCATGACCTGCATGCTGGCGAGGTAACTGTGTTCTCTGTTTTCAGCTGCTTTCTGGTCCATGAAACTGTTTCCTTCTTGCTCCCCTCGTGTGGAGTGTGTGGTCACTCATCAGCTAACACAGCCTCACTGCCTGCAACAGGAGTCCATCCTCTGGTCATCTCTGTTTCTGGACTCGGCTTCAAATGACAAATCACCGCAGTCTCTGAGCCATCAACCAGTCAAGATGAATATCGACATTGAATCCAGGCTGCAGCGAATCAAGCAACAGGGGTGAGAGCGAATCATTTCCAGTTCTTCGTGTTTGTTGTTTTAGGTTGGACAGGCTTTTGAGCTCGTCATCAAAACTTTTGCTAAAAAAATGCAACCAACCTGCAACGTAGCAGACCGTATCAACTTGTCCATAGCTGTCAGGTACTACATGTCACACGCTCACGCTTTATCTAACGTACGCGCAGAATGCTTTACTGCCCCAATAATGCTCGATACGCTGGAACAACCGTCACCTCTCTCCCACCCCCACCCCCAAAAAACATATTGATTTTATGCTTTGCTGTATGGCGCTTTTTCGCAGACAAAACCGACACACCCTGTCCCACGTGGAGGACAAGCTGTGCGAGATGTTCCGCGCCGCGGATGGCACTGGCAGGGTCAACATTACTAAATTTTTGGAGGTAAGCTTGTCGGGAATGCGCACCGCGCAAACCGTAGTTAATGGTGATAAAAGCTTCTGTTGCTTACGTCAGAAAAACACACCCTTTTCTGCGATCAAAATTATAACCTTATTTTAGTGCTAGTAAATTTGTCACAAGGACTAAATCTACCAGAACAGCCTCTAATGGAAGTGCTTCTCAAATGGCGTTGTTATGCTGGTTAACTGCGTAATATAATCGACAATTGCATTGATTTGGTGCATCTTCTCCTCAGGGTGCTAGAATATTTAGCTGCGGTATTTTGTCCATTTTATTTAAGTAAGCTAACGGCCAAGTTACGCTGTTATGAAACGGATGACCGGTATTGGTACACAGTATGTTTTTAGCGTCTTTCCTAGTAACCCGGAGTAACCTGAAATGGCAAAAAGGTATGTGTCAGGGAGAAGCCTTCTTCCTTCGCCTATACCTGGATCCCCATTAGTGTCTTCGTCCCAGCCAAACATACCCATGCACCGGGTCAGCGCTACGGATTTTAAGTGAGGCGTAGGGGAAGCGGGATTTCAAAGGATCATCTTTGAAACAATGGGGCCTCCTTGTATGGAGGGAGCCTCCTGGGAAACACAACATTCATTGGGAAGGGATGACGAGGCATGTGCCCCTTTATGACACCGGTGCACAGCATATATCCAAGTAAATACATGTCGACAGCTAAAAACAACATAATAGGGACCTTCTAAACATCTAGCGAAGACAATTTGAGAAAGCACAGACAGGTTGTCCCGGTGCATCGAGGAGCTTCCTAATTCAGAACAAGATGCTTCCGATTCACGAAAGGGGCCTCCAAATAAAATAAAATGCCTCCAAATCTAAAAAAATATGTCTCATCATCGCAAAACAGTGCATCCTGATTCGAAACCGCGGCCTCCTCTTCCAGAAATGGGGCCTTCTAAATATAGAGGGTGCCTCTTAACCCAGAACAAGGGCCGTCAGTTTTTAAAGGGGGCCTCCCGAGCCAGCAAACAGGCCTCATTAGCGCAACGTACGGCCTTCTGATCTACAGTATGGACACCCTTTTCATGACGGTCGCCTCTGATCCAGAAAACGGCGCTCGTGATGTAGCAAAGGGTCTTCAAAGCCCGATTTGGTACTTTCTAGATCACCTATGGAGGTCTTGACCTGAATTTTCATAGTCTGCGGTTAGTAACAATGCCTTTAGTTTGGGAACAATATGCCCATTTATGTGATAACGAGGACCCCTTCCCAGATTTGGAGGCTCCGTCGTAAACCGGAAGGCATCCGCTTTTGGAATAGGAGGCCCTTTTATGATGCATTTCCATAGTCTACCACGATTTACAAACATAACGGCCGTTAAGTGGCTCCCAATATTGCACAGGGTGTGATGACGTGAGAAGCACAAATAGGGCATAGAGAAATGGTGTTGTCCAGAGCAGCCTTTCCATTTAAAAGTATGCAAGTAGACATAAGTGAGTTCATTGCATGATCACTGATGCTTGCTTTAACATTTTCAAATGTGGAGCATTCCCTTTAACAGGGGTGGTTGAGTGCGAGTCTGCTCGTGCCCCAGCACGGCCCTGAGAATAACTGAAGCGTGCAATCTATCGTGGGAGCGTGGCAGCTGTGGGACCGAATGTTTGCTTCCGCTAAAAGTAGGGGTATTGTAGGAAATAGGTGCCCGTGCATTTCGCGAATGCACTTTTTGTACGTAAAACTCGGGCTCATGTGAAACGCAAAAGCATATATGATACTGAAAATGCTTTTTTACTTGGGATTTGCATGTAGTAATATAATTTGCATTGAGTAGCAACGAAGCGCGAGCAGCAAATATCTTGATATGCACACCACACAGAGGATGAAAAGAAAATTAACTCTTGAAAGTGATCCACGTGCCATTTATGCTAGCTTTTGGAAACCGCTTACAGCTAGTGATTGCTGTCACGCTCAACGAGTTTCCGATCAACCAAACTTAACCCGCCAAGTGCCTCGAAATCTCGGCGAAAATGCACCTTAAGGATGAGGTACCTGTAATTTGTGCTGATATCAGATCAGGGATGCCAGGGGATGCTGATCAATTCACGTCGTCAAGAAAATGACAAGGGCCATTTTTCAATTTTGTAGTGCAGTTTCCTCGGCGTCATCTCTTGTCGTGCGGTAGTATCTGGCGATCGTATTAGATGAAGCGCATTTGGAACTGTAGCGCTCACGCGCAGTGTGGCAGCGAGGGGCTCCGGCTCATGCAATGGCTGATGGAGGCGATACCGAACTGCTAGCCGAAATACTAAAACAGACGTGCTCGCGATTCAGCGAAGTACGGGTCTCGGAGGAATATCAAATGTTGAGAGTAGGGACCTTCAGTTATTGTATCGGGCAGTCCGTTTATTCATGGGTTGGACTGGACAGGAGTGGACGTTTCTAAAGGACGCAGCTAAGATTTGATTGAATTATAAACTTTGCAAAGCGCAGACACATTGCAAAAACTCAAGTCTACAGTTGCAATTTAACTGTTGCCTAAGGGGGGGGGGGGGGGCGAGAGGCCCACCTTAAGGTTTTTCTTGAATAACTTAGCAACCATGTCATATATCGAGCTGATATTTTCATTAGCTGGTTGATTACATTTTTACCCATCCTGTCAAGGCTCTCATGCTTCCGTCAGAGTAGGAAGAGACATATTAACCGTTTGTGTTTGATTTCACCAACCACTGATTGCATATTAATCAGATGATTTTGCCAAATCAACAATATAGTCCACTTTTTGGCCATGTAGATGAATTACTTGCTTTTTATAAGTGCAACCGATCTTCATCTTAAAGATATCGGGCTCAATGGTGTCTAAGTGTGAGGCAGGTCGTTAGAGGTCAACCAGGTCAAACATGTGCCATTGCGTTCTATGCGATGATTATGGCTAATGCACTTGCAACAATGTTTTGTAACGCTTCACCTGAGGAGTACCATCGTGCCGAGCATCGTGGCCACAATTGTAGTCAATCTAGCTGCTCGTGCTGCGTTAGAGAAATGTAAACAGCGAGATACCGCTGACCATGATTTGTCGTTGTTGGTGCAGACGTGCTATATTGGGGATGGTTCATTTTTCAACTACCTTTGTTCATGAATGATTACAGGCGGGCTATATTGATCTTCCGCAAGGTCATGACCTAGAATCATTAATGCCTGGATGCAGCATTTGAGATGTTTTTCTTGCATCTGAGTTCGTCCATCGTCTGCGAGCTGTTATCCACAGCTGCAAAAAAATGCTTAGTTCAGTGTAAGTGCGCTCGTCCAGCATCACCCTTCATTGTGTATCATCAACGTTATCGTCATAACTGGAGTGCATTGTGACACTCTGTGACATCGCAGACTAACTTCTGTCCGCCGGGCTACTATGTGCATGAGTCTCTGTCTGCTCCGGGGCGTTATGCTCTGGAGTGTCAAATGCATGCATGCCTTTAACATTGTAATTCTGATGCAGGCAGCGGTGAAAGCTAGATGAAAAAAACCCGAATAAGCAAAAACGAATTGAAGCTCGGTAAAGATTTGAAGGCCAAACCCAAGGGCACACACTTCACGTAGAGCCTAGTTTTTATGCAAGTTTTATATGCTTAGCGTTGGAGGGACACACTGCGCCATTTGCGACGAAACATCCCTCCCTCCAAATTCAATCCGTTCAAAAATAAGACACTCACGATTTGCGGGATAGCTGGGCATTGCCTGATTTGTGCGTATGTGGGTGTGCCATGGATGACCTCATGGACTTTTTGGAATCCTCACTAAAAAGCATCAGTCATCGTATACTACAAACGGCACCGGAATTAGCCCAATTTGCTCATCGAACAAGCATCCTTTTCAGTTGGATGTGAAATTGGGCTGGAGAGGACTGCCATTGTATTTGGCCGGAAATAAATCTGCTGTGCTGGGTTATGTGACCAACTGGATTTTGAAATCGCGAAAAGGCTTGCTGGATAGGCAACCTGGATTTGAAACTGACGCATTTGACTAAACCGGACCTTGAAAGTGTATTTCATGAAGAGCTCCAGTTGGTAGGCCTTTCAAATGTGCTGGTGGACAGTGGCCACTCTGCACTGTCCTCTGCAAGGCCGATGTATTTTCCACAGAAGCTACGATGCTACTCCCTGAGTCAGCTCAGGGAGTAGCAAGTTTTTAGCCAACAGTTACAATTTCGTACACAAAATGAGGTCCAGTTCTGTTGGACTGAGTTTGTCACCAAAGTGCATACTAAGCAAAGCCTTTTGCAACGCCCGGCCGCGTCACAAGACTAGTAATTCAAGTTCGGCCAAGTACGTGACAGGTTTTCTCTGGCTGGCTGCAGCATACGGATATGAAAAACCTGCTTCAAAATTATATACAAGGTCTTTGTTGCACGAATATCGCGGTTTTTAACTCGGTAGCGACGCAAATTGCACTATGTTGTTGTTGTTGGCAGGGTGCGGTGTAGCAGGCGGTCTGCCCATCGGCAGAAGGAAAGGGTTTTTTTTTGGTCCCCACACAATTTTGGGGGCCTTCAAATTATTCAGCAACTGAATTCATGAACATAAAACGGGATCTCAAGCTGCAAAATGGGCGTTCTACTCCAGAAGTGAATTGATCAGCATCCCTGACATCCCAGGCCTGATATAAGCATATACTAGAAGTTTAGTACCTCTGAATTTCAAGGCGTATTTTCACCGAGATCTCGAAGCGTTGGCGGGTTAAGTTTGGTTGATCGGAAACTCGTTGAGCGTGATAGCAATCACTAGCTTTGAGTGATTTCCAAAAGCTAACATAAATGGCACGTGGATCACTTTCAAGAGTTGATTTTCTTCTCATCCTCTGTGTGATGTGCATATCAAGATATTTGCTGCTCGCGCCTCGTTGCTACTCAATGCAAATTATATTACTACATGCAAATTGCAAGAAAAAAAGCATTTTCAGTATCATATATACTTTTGCGTTTCACATGAGCCCGAAAGTTTTACGTACAAAAAGTGCATTCGCGAAATGCACGGGCACCTTTTTCCTACAATACCCCTACTTTTAGCGAAAGCAAACATTCGGTCTCACAGCTGCCTGTCCCCCGCGTCGCTCCCACGATAGATTGCACGCTTCGGTTATTCTCCGGGCCGTGCTGGGGCACGGGCAGAGTCACAGTCAACCATCCAGAGAGCTAGAATCGCTTTTGAACTAGGGAAGGAGTGAAAAATTTCATCGCAAAAAAAACCGTACGGGAGCGAAAAAATCCATTCACAAAAAATGGAACTTGTGAGCTCGTGACTGGTGTTTCAGCAAACTCATGCATCTATTTCAAGTTGGCATGGACGTCATATCATAAACCTGACAAAACTGTTTTGTTTTTTGACATCTTAGGCCATTAAAGTGAAGCAGAATACATTAAAGCATAGTGATTTCATGACAGTGTAACGAGCACAAAAATTATTAACACCAATAATTTGATGCTGCAATTTGCACTTCCCTTCCACAGCACTTTTAACGCAAAACAAAGCAAAGGAATGAAATAACAAAATAACAACAGAAAATTCAACAAGCATAGAACACTCAAACAAACAAACAAAAAAACTTGGACTTTTATACATCAGCCCATCACCAAGTCAAACACAATAGACATACCTCTGGTTTCTGTTAAGATGGGATCAGGGAAAAGCAGACATTTTGTCACTGTTTCTTACAAAATACCAATTCTTATTTCCATGAAAGTACCCCAACTATGCCTAACCTAAAGAGGCCTTGCTTCATCTCATCCCGTCTAACCTGTTTGTATCATAGCAGCAGTTGTGAGTTACTGATTCTTGCACAATTCCTCTTGCCACTTGCTATGCACTTAACCAACTTAACCTAACTTAGAGCAGCCCAGTATGTTGAACATCATCTCAACTCACCTATCTGTTGACAGCAGCACTTGTGATAAAAACCTGATGAAGATAATTTTTGGCTGGTTTCAACTTGCACTTTTATTCAGTTCATTTGTGTATGCTTGTTGACATCAGAAAAGTTGACAGCACACAAATCAAAACACTTTAAATCACTTTGAACAACTTATTTTTGTTGTCATGGTTAACCTATGTCAAGGGCAATAATGGGTATGCTCCACAACACAATCTCTCCTCTCCAAAAGTAACAAAATTTTTAGATGACCACGCCAGTATTGCTGCTTGCCTTTTCAGCTGCAGCAAAGGAATATATTTAGGCTTGTCTATTCATATCTAATGACAAAGTTTGAGATGTTGGCTTCACATTTTAAATGGGATGGTCTAACTATTTGTTGCCTATTAATATTTAACTCATATATAATTGCCACGCAGCTTAGAGTATCCCTGTGTTAAAATTCAAGTGCATACATACAGTGCATACATACAGTCATTTGCCAGCCATCAACCATGACGACTATAGAAAACATCTGATTAAAGCAGCCATGAGGGACCACTTCAAGAAATTTGGGGCAAATCATCAAGAATATGGAACAAAATAAGCCCATTGCATGCCCTGTGGCATCATAATTTGTCTTATGACAAAATTCGATGGATTAACACAGAAAATGGCTAACTGGTTACCAATCATGTGTTGAAAGCAGGTCAGGTAAGCAATTGCTTGGTCCACAGGAGACTAACTGGTTTCTTCCTTGCTCCCCCAACCCAAAAAGTCAGCACCTTTTGCATGGTCTGCTCGCACACAGTCATCCCACTCACCGCCCAAATATAAATATCAATCATGCACACCAACCTACGAAATTAAAATGCGAAACAAGTAAGAGGTGTGCATGATAAACATTTCCAGAGAGTAGCATTTCGCCATCAAACGCTTCTGTATTAGCTGCGTCAGGTCTGTCCCAAAGCTCTGTATGGCAGCATTAGGATAGCCTTGTCAGGTAGCCTAGTGAGTTAAACACTCGAAAGGCATAGATATATCATTGTTGAGCACCGCCATGGACCAAGAAAACGGTTAACAGAAGATTTAACAGGGCAAAAATGGTGGTAAGAATAAGTTCCGTGCTTCAAATTGTCTTCTTCATTCCCTGTGAATTGTTCACTCTTGGGTGCATATCAAACATGTTTGGGCGGCTGGCGAATTAATCCAATTTATGTATAACATACGTACAAGTTTGCAGTTGGAGCATCTTGCAGAGAGATTGGTACACATTTAAAGCAACAGATGGTACCTCTAAAGGCAATCGAAAAGGAAGGAAGAATAAAGTGGTATCACACTATGTGATACCAAGGAAAATAAGAGTAGTTAGATAAATATAAAAACTAATACTTTTCTGGCAGAATTTTGTTATCAGCTGATTTGACCTAAAATCTGTTGACATGAGTGGTCAAATGGTGATGTCCATCTTGTAAATTTAATTTAGAAGACATTTTTTGAATTTTTCACTCCTGCATTTCGGGAGTGATGCAATTTAGTGATCAAGTTTCCTCGGGGAAAAAATAAATACGTGGAGTAAAATTCTATACCAGGCCTTGCTGGTGTTTGCACCAGGCTCTGCTTTCGTGGTGTGGTGACGAGACAAAAAAAAAAAAAATAGAAGATGCGTGGAAACCTTGCCTTTGGCACACAGCTGCCGATTGTGATGCATTTTGTAAACAAATCAAACTTAATGCGTGCAAGCGGCTGAAGTCGCTGGGGTTCTTGGGCTTGGAGGTACCTGGCGCCCTTGCTCTGTGCATACATAGACATGATTCAGATGTAGGTGAGGCAGGACATAGCCATAGGTGTCCAGGTTCTTTGGAGCCTCGTCTATGCTCGGTGGTTTCAGGTGAGCTCGGTTTTGGATGACAAATGGAAACCTCAGAAAGGGAAATAGGGGTTTGGCATGTGCGATTAGGCAATGTCAAGCAGGAGTGAAAAATTCACATAAACTGTGGGGAAAGGGAGTGAAAAATTCCTCATACGGTGTTGCTTTACACCCAAAGTCGGCA